TCTCGGATTTTCACAGTTCTTCTCAACTCTTCTCAGCTCCCCGCAGCTCATGTAAGCTCATCTTATGTCTTCTCATCTCTGCTCTCCTCTTCTCACGTCTTCTGAGCTCTTCTCACATCTCCTCAGTTGATCTCAGCTCTTGTCAGCTCGTCTCACCTCATCTCAGCTCTTCTCAGCGCACTCTCAAATCATCTCAGTTCTTCTCTGGTCCAAAACCTGCTCCAAAAACCGATCTCGGCGCCAAAGCAAGCGACCCCTACACTTTCCACAGAGAAGATTTGACACAGAGAAACTTTTACACAGCAAGCTTTTGCACAGAGAAGCTTGTACACAGAAGCTTTCACACAGAGACAGGGAAGCTTGTACACAGAGACAGGGAAGCTTTTAATCACGGAAAGTTTTTACACAGAGCAAGCTTTTACACACAGCAAGCCTTTACACAGAAACCTTCACATAGAGAAGCTCTTGCACGCAGCAAGCTTTTACACGCAGGAAGCTTTTACACACAGAAGATTTTGCACACAGAAGCTGTTACACAGAGAAGCCTTTACACAGCGAAGCTTTTACACACAGCAAGCTTTTACACAGAGAAGTTTTTACACAGAGAAGCCTTTACACAGAAAGGTTTTTACGCACAGCAAGCTTTCACACACAGAAGCTTTTACACAGAGAAGCCTTTACACGGAAAGGCTTTTACACACAGCAAACTTTTACACACAGAGAGCCTTTGCACACAGCAAGCTCTTACAGAGAGAAGATTTTACACACAGCAAGCTTTTACACAGATAAGCTTTTAAAAACAGAGGCTTTTACACAGAGAAGCCTTTACAGAGAGAAGTTTTTACACACAGAAGCTTTTACACACAGCGAGCTTTTACACACAGCTAGCCTTCACACAGGGAAGCTTTTATACACAGCTAGCTTCACACAGAGAAGCTTTTACACACAGAAGCTTTTACACACGGAAGCCTTTACACACAGCAAGTTTTTACGCCGTGAAGCTTTTACGCAAGGAGCTTTTACAGACGGAAGCTTTTGCACACAGAAGCTTTTACACAGAGAAGCTTTTACATACACAAACACTTTGGCATAACGATGCCAAAATTGCAGCTCCAAAAAAGGCTCTCGGCGCCAAAGCACAAAAAAAAGACCATTTTGAAGCACTTTTCAAGAGGAATTTTAAATCGAAAATCAGCAGCGCCAAAATTGAGAAAATCTGCTGACAAATCACTATCGCAGCCTTGATGCAGCCACTCCAATACGATTTACGATGTCCAGCTGCAAAAGACAATAGTATTACGCACGCAGCCGCGGCACCAAGCAACCTTGACGCAGCCATTACAGTGCGATCTGCAGAGACTGAGTAGCTAAACACACGAGAACTGCGCCGCAACGGCGTGAGAAATTGCAGCTCCAAAACCGGATCTCGGCACCAACGAAGCTTTCGTGCCAGACTTCCCTGAAGAAGTGAAAGTGGAAGATGTGAAAACGAAGCTTTCGTGCCTGACTTGAAAGTGGAAGATGTGAAAACGAAGCTTTCGTGCGAGACTTCCCTCAAAATCTGAAAGCTGAAGATGTGAAAACGAAGCTTTCGTGCCAGACTTCCTGCAAATTTGGAAAGTTCAAGTTGCGCCAAACGACGCCTGAACTGTCAGGTCCACGGCGGGGCCGATCCGACCATGATCCGAGCATAGCCGAGACCGTTCCGAAACCGTCGCGCGACTACAGACCTTCCCCATCCATAATCCAAGGCACGTTTTGTCCTGCAAAAAACAACATTTCGTGCATCTGCTAACTTTCAAAAATGCATTTCGTGCGAGACTTCCCTCAAAATCTGAAACTGACAGATGTGAAGATGAAGCTTTGGTGCGAGACTTCCCTCAAAATCTGAAAGTGGCAGATATGACAACGATGCTTTAGTGCGAGACTCCTTGATAGTGGTGGTTGTGATAATGGTGATTGTGATGGTGGTGATATTGTGATAATGGTGATTGCGATTATGGTGGTTGTGATAGTGGTGATATTGTGGTAGTGGGCATATTGTGATAGTGGTGCTTTTGTGATTTTGGTGGTTGCGATAGTGGTGATATTGTGATAGTGGTGATATTGTGATAGTGGTGGTTGTGATAGTGGTGATTGTGATATTGGTGGTGGTGATAGTGGTGGTGATAGTGGTGGTTGTGATAGTGGTGAAATTCTGATAATGGTGATTGTGACATTCATTGTGATGGTCGTGGTTGTGATAGTGGTGGTTGCGATAATGGTGATAGTGTGATAGTGGTGATGTTGTGATAGTGGTGGTTGTGATAGAGGTGAGTGTGATAGTGTGATAGTGGTGGTTGTGAAAGTGATGTGATAATGGTGATTGTGATGGTGGTGATATTGTGATGGTGGTGATATGCTGATAGTGGTGATATTGTGATAGTGGTGATATTGTGATGGAGGTGAGTGTGGTAGTGGTGGTTGTGATAGTGGTGATAGTGTGATGGTGATGTTGTGAAAGTGGTGGTTGTGATAGTGATGAAATTGTGATGGTGGTGATATTGTGATGGTGGTGATATTGTGATAGTGGTGATATTGTGGTAGTGGGCATGTTGTGATAGTGGTGCTTTTGTGATTTTGGTGGTTGTGATAGTGGTGATAGTGTGATAGTGGTGATGTTGTGTGATAATGGTGGCTGTAGTGGTGATTGTGATTTGGAAAAAACTTCTTACACGGAAGTTAGACTTTCAAACTCCCTTTGGTGATCATCTACCAATCGGCATGCTGAGGATTTTCCAGCCAACCATAAGGATCCACAAGGTATATCCCCTACTACATAGGCTACAAGATTATATATGCAACAAGTATCCCAAGCTTGTTGCTTATCTAATCGTGTTCTCGCCAAATTGGAAGATACACTCTGCGGGAGAGTGTTGCATCTAGGAAAAATTACTAATTACAATTTCAGCCGATTTGGAGGTGATTACCCTTGCCAACCATCAGTTTGACTCTTAGTGCAGCACTCATCGACTACTGCTTGCCAACCTACACACTTGCATCCCCAATTTCTAGCCGAGAATCTTGAAGGACGACTTACTTGGATCTGAGATTTCGCTTGGTCGCCTGCAGTGGTCTTTGCTGGCTTCAGTGGTACACCAGCTGATTCAAATTCAGGGGGACGTTGATCTGGATGATGTTTGGATTATGATTGGATAAAAGTTAGATTCTAATTCTAATTCAGATTTAAATAGTTCAGGCGACCCCCAGTTGAAATTGCCAAGATGTCCAAAGAGTTTCATTCTGCAGCAGTCCGGCCTCTGCTCTCTGATACAGCAATTGCAGGTACACTCCTTATCAGTCAGCACCTGCCACCAGCTGACAGGCACTCAAAATTCGGAGAGCCGATGCACACCATCTGCAGAAGGTTTCAGTACCTTTGCGCAACATCTCATGATAATTTGCATAACATCTGATGAGAATACATTATATAGAGAGAGAGAGAGATACCAGGGTGCATGCACCTGGGATCATGTTTGGCGCCCAAATCATACCGCCTTGGTGTACTTCGAGAATAGGCCCTTCACGCGGGCATCTACAGGGAGACATAGACATAGCAGGAGGAGCACCTGAGGCAACCCTCAAGCGGGTGTCCAAAACGGGGATCCCAATACCTTAGGAATATAGGAATTATGGGAAAAATGATTATCAAATTAATGGTACCCTACCTTCAGGCAAACCTTTTCTGTTTCTGTTTAGGATCTTTCTGTGCCAGTATGATTCCCGACATTCTTTAGGATGCTCCAGTTATCTTTGAGCCAAGAGACTGGAAGTCTCCTCATCGCACGCCACCTTGGAGTGAAGCAAATCACTGCAAGTCTGCGACCAAGGAATTTCTCCGAGGTGCTTCTGTGAAATTTCATTCCTCTGAGTCACATGGTTACACTTCATTTCATCTTGTTTCACCAGGTTCAGCTTCAAACTGAAGACAATTACGAAGGAACCCTATAAGCTGGGCAAATTGTGAATCTGAGAATGTTTTAGAAATTCTCATGCGTGTCCTAAAATTTTTAAAATGCAAATCTTGGCACACCATTCCATCAAGTCAAGGAATCTCGAAAGATCCAAAGTCTATCAGTCTATCACGGCGTCCATCACAAATTTTCTTCCCCACATCTGAGGATGGATCTCTGGGCCAATTGTCGATTCGCTATCTAACAGCTGGAGGGTTTGACCAGCTTGAGCCTAGCCGGGCCTTCATCCAGCAGCGGAACATACTGGAACCCTGGAGGGCCAATGAATTTCACAAATAGCTGGTAAACGAAATTTGGTAAATGATTGTGATCCTTGATGTTTGGAAAGAAGTTTGGGCTGGCGCTTGAGATTACGTGATGTGACGAAATCTGAACGTAATCCGTACTCCGCAGAAAGCAAAATGTCTTTCTCCTTAGGTAATCCGCCATCCATAGTAATCCAAAGTAATCCATAGTAGCAATCTGTAATCAACAGCATCTGAAAGTTGCCCTGCAGATCTTAGACAAACATGCAACCAATAATCCGCCCAAACTGAAGTGATCAAGTTGATATTTGGGGATGGGTAGGCTTGAGGCCGACAGGACCGTTACCAGAATTACGTCCGAACTCGAAATTCATAAGCTTGGCTGAACTGGCCGTGGATCAAGCATCTTCAAAGCTTGGATACTTTTTACACCAAAATCCTTCGTAGCTGAGGGCCACGGAACCCTATGGATGCTCATCCCCATTCATAGTCATATGACTTGTGGAATCTTCTGGATGTTCAGCCCTGCTAGGTGGCGGTGATCCACTGGCCTCAACATCAAAAAGAACCAGATGGCCCTTTTATTTCAAATTGACGTCGAAACATCGGTTGAATCGCGTGAAACAATTGATTAATCATCAATGATCAATGAAAAACTCAAGCCTAAATCAGCCATTGCCAAGGATGTGGAAGACAGCTGGCACCTTTTCAAACAGCTTCCCAAATCGACTATGTACAGAGTCAGTGCTTTGCCAACTTCACATCATTCATGAAACCAAGCCTTGGATGTCGAAAGCCACAACAGACAAGACAGCGAGCATTCTGAGATCCCGAAGAAAGGAAAGCAGGCAGCACAAGGAGAGCAAAACTGCGGCCTGAAACTTGGTATAATATGGTACAGTTGCAGCGCGAAAATTTGCGCACTTGGGTTGGCAGTTCAAAATTCCGGGCCGGAGAATGTACTTCAGGATGGAGCCACTCGACGACATCAGACAAGGATCTGTCAAAGCCCATCGATCCCGATTGGTGGACACAACCTGGCTCCACGAGGATCCATCGTGTGTATTCGCTGTTTGGAATCCTGATGTTTGGTTACATCATGTTACATCTATTGTTCGTTTGAAAAAGCCTCAGAGTTTACATCCAAATCATTCGCGCCTCATGTTCCACGGAGTGGCTGTCAAACAGTACCAAGCGCCTGCTTTGCACCACAGCTTTGCCAGAAAGCGAAGCACGATCTCGCTAATCAAATGGACCCAAACTGGAAAGCCAGAAATTGCTACTCCACCCAAGATGCACCATTAAGCATTCAACTATTCCACGTCAGAGGGGAAATCCAGGTTTTAGGCAACCCTGATTCATCTCAAACCTCCATTGAGGTTTGTCCACTATGCTCATCCCCAAGTCCAGTGTTTTTTTCCTCATTTTTCCTGCAAGAAGTGTCCCGAATCAATGCGGTAGTTCACACGAAAGTAGATGGCAAATGGACCATCCAAAAAAAATTGGTGCCATGTCTAAAGTCTCATCATTGAAATCCCCCATGAAAATCATGAAATTCCCATTAGACATCCCAGTCTCTGAGCCGAAAAAGCCCCCAATCGTATCTCACCATTGAATCTCATTTCATCAGCGCACCCTCCCTTCGGCAGGATCTCCGTTATGGGAGGATGGCTCTCCACTGGGCCCCGGTGGACAGCGGCATGGGCTTTGCAACGGAGGGCACCACCGGCACTCTTTGGCCAGTCCTGGGACGGGTTTTTCGGGTGGTCAAATGGATTGAAGGAACATGTTGCAGGAGATCATGGTTTCTGACCCCACGGTGGAGGCTGTTCTTTGTAAAATGTTCCCCTCAACCAATTCTGAGAGGAGGATATCTTCAGGAACTGGACATGACAAATTTTGGGGGTTCATTGGTACCCCACATGGGTTTCACGGTTGTCCAGGGTGGATCATCACACCTGTCATGGATTGCTTGAAAATCCTGGCTGAGCCCACTATGAATTGCCGTTGACTCTGGAGCTTATGGAAGCAACACGATATCAACCAGCAATAGCGTGAAGAGAACAAACAAGTCATGGGAATCCAAACACATTGTTGGCCCATTATTTCTCAATCAAACATGAATCCACGCCCATTTCTGTCCCTGGAATTCCCAGACTTACTATTTCTATCCCTGGATTGATTGGTTTGGTTTCACGGCTCATAGTCATAGTAATCCCCAGCAAACAGGGAGGCAAATCAGGTAGGTCCTCCTCGTTGAGATACAAAATGCCGGTCACTGACCGCCGCCTTGTCAGACCGAGTCGGAGACTAACCAAAATGACTTCAGGACTGAACAGGAAAAGCACGGAAAAGCCATACCCTTCCTGATTTCATAGTAGCTCATACCCTCCTGTCATTCCCGGACCCGTTCAGCAATCTGAAACTCAGAGTTTTCGGGGCGCTTCCCAAGCCTCACAGCACCTCGCTGGAGCCAAAAATACCATCCCAAAATGCCAGACCAACTTCCGTCGAGGCCTCAGTTGGATCAGTGTCCCTAGGGGAAACCACCAGTCCAAAGGCATCCAAAGGCCCAATCTGTTGAGATTGGGCCATGCTGGGCCATGAATTCTGTCCAGGAACCATCTGTGTGCCACTTGTAGAAACCACTGCCTTCGGTGTACTGGGCCTCGGTATACTGTGCACTTTGCAGTTCCACAGCCCCAACAGCCGGATGCTGTTGGGATGCACACACACATAGATTTTCACACAATTCACCAAAAGCGTTGCCAACATTGGTAGCCTCTTGTTGAATTTCCAATTGATTGGGTGGCAAATGAATTGGCATGTTGAAAAGGTTATTTTCAATCATCAGAGTTCCATGAATTCCAGTGCCGTCAAAAAACCAACTGTGTCCAAGCAGTGACTAAAAAGTTACGCTCAGAGCCCGCCGCTGCATAGCCTGTGAGCAACTCAAATGAAAGCTCCCGGGCATGGAAAGTGCAATCAGAGCTAAACAAAGAAACAATCACACGAATCAAACAAATCAAAGTTGTAGATCCTAGGAATCCTTTGGTGAGTTTTTGTTCATCCACCCCCTCCCAATAGCATCCCTCAGCACTGGCCATGCCTCGCTCTAGTTGCGCCGCCGTGCTTCGGAGACGGCGGTGGCACCAGCGAAGTTCGGGACCGCACAAAGCTGGACCTGGGAAAGCGGTCATTGTCATTCCCAGGATATTCAGGATTAACAAATGGCCATGGGTTGAACGGATTTCTTCGTCTTGAAAAAAACAAGGTGCAAGGTCTACACCCATATCTGGTTGGTAAATCTGTGGATTCATGTAGCTTTTCCTGGGACCGATCCACTGAATGATTCTTGACCAATCAAAATTCCCGCAATATGAAACACCCCTAATCAGGGCAATACATTTCACCAGGGTTTTGTTTTTCCCAAAAGCATCTCCGATGCTTGGGTTCTCGTTTAGTTTACTTTGACGCGAGACAGAAGAGCCGGACGAGCGAGGAAGGAAGGAAGGAAGGAAGGAAAGGGGGAAGGAAGGAAGAAAGAAAGGAAGGAAGGAAGAAAGGAAGGGAAGGAAGGAAGGAAGGAAGGAAGGCACGAGCGGGAAGAAAGGAAGGAAAGAACGGAGGGAAGGAAAGAAGGCACGAGCGCAGACGGAGTGGAAAGTGTGGAAATAGCTTGCAAATAGCTTAGGGGGATCTCCGCTGGAGGGAGCGAGACGGAAGCGCCGGACGAGCGTGGATGGATTGTGAAGCGTGGAAATGGCTTGGGCCACAGGGAGCGAGCTGGGAGCGTCGGACGAGCGTGGATAGACTGTGAAGCGTGGAAAAGCTAGCGTGGAAATAGCTTTGGAGGGAGCGAGGCGGGAGCGCCGGACGGACTGTGAAGGGTGGAAATGGCTTGGGGGGAGCTCCGCTGGGGATCGAGCTGGGAGCGCCAGACGAGCGTGATGGACTCTGAAGCGTGTACACACAGAAACTTTTACACACAGATGCGTTCACACACAGGAAGTTTTACACACAGAAGCGTTTACGGTGCACTGAAACTTTTACACAGAGCAGGTTTTACACACAGAAGCTTTTACACGAAAAAAGCTTTAGACAGAGAAGTTTTTACACCCAGAGGCTTTTGCACAAGGAAGCTTTTACACCGGAAAGCTTTTACACATAGAAGCTTTTTCACAGAGAAATTTTTTTACACCGAGAAGTCTTACACAGAGGAGCTTTTACGCACAGACGGGTTTGCACATAGAAGCCTTTACACAGAGGAGCTTTTGCACACAGAAGCTGGTACGTACAGAAACTTTCACAAACAGAAACTTTTACACACAGAGGACGTTTTACACAGAAGCTTTTACACACAGAAGTTTTTACACAAAAAAAAAACTTTACACAGAGAAGTTTTTACACCCAGAGGCTTTTGCACAAGGAAGCTCTTACACCGGAAAGCTTTTACACACAGAAGCTTTTTCACAGAGAAACTTTTTTACACCGAGAAGTCTTACACAGAGGAGCTTTTACGCACAGACGGGTTTGCACAGAGAAGCCTTTACACCGAGGAGCTTTTGCACACAGAAGCCTTTTACGCACAGAACCTTGTGCACAGAGTAGCATTTACACAGAGAAGTCTTACACAGAGGAGCTTTTACGCACAGACGGGTTTGCACAGAGAAGCCTTTACACAGAGGAGCTTTTACGCACAGACGCGTTTACACAGAGAAGTCTTTACACAGAGGAGCTTTTGCACACAGAATCTTGTACACACAGACGCGTTCACGCACAGAAGGTTTTACAAACAGACAACTTTACGGCGCACAGAACTTTTACATAGAGCAGCTTTTACGCAGCGAAGCTTGTACACACAGGGGAGCTTTTATACACAGAAGCCTTTACACATAGATTTTTTTAATATACAGAAGCTTTTGCACACAGAAACTTTTACACACAGAAGCTTTTACACAAAAAAAGCCTTTACACAGAGGAGCTTTTACACACAGATGGGTTTACACAGAGGAGCCTTTACACACGGAGGCGTTTACACAGGGAAGCTTTTACACACGGAAGCTTTTACAGAGAGTAGTTTTTACACAGAGAATTCTTTACACAAAGAAGTCTTGCCGCAGAGAAGCTTGCACACACAGAGGCTTTTACACAGAGAGGCCTTTTACACAGAGCAGCTTTTTCACAGAGGAGCTTTTACACGGAGGAACTTTTACACAGAGAAGCTTGTACACTCTTTGACACAGAGAAGTCTTTTACACAGAGAAGCTTTTACACAAAAAAAAACTTAACACAGAGGAGCTTTTGCACACAGAAGCTGGTACGTACAGAAACTTTCACAAACAGAAACTTTTACACACAGAGGACGTTTTACACAGAAACTTTTACACACAGAATCTTTTACACAAAAAAAACCTTTGCACAGAGAAGTTTTTACCCACAGAAGCTTTTACACACAGAAGTTGTTTCACAAAGAAAACTTTACACACAGGAACTTTTACACAAAGAAACTTGTACGCACAGACACGTTTACACACAGTAGCTTTTAATTACGCATAATTAGAAGCTCTTGTACAGAGAAGTCTTTACCCATCTTTCATCATGTCTCATTTTTCATGATCATTCACATTCTGTCATCTTCATATCTTCATTTTCAGGCTCTTTTGGTCAACTCCCCCCGTCGTTTAGTTTTCATTTCGCACGGTGTTCTGTCCGTCGTCCTCGCTCCCTCTGCGGCGAAGCAAACTAAACGAGAATCCAGTAATAAATAGCGACTAGAAAGATGGGATAGAGTTATATAATTACATTAGCAGAAATAGCGACTAGAAGAATGTAGACGTAGCTGACACAGCATGCTGTGGTAAATTGTGGCCCCTGATACCATCAGTGCGCACAATGTTTCAGTAAAGATCTCACGTCGATTTCGTGCAGAGCACAGCTGCCCACACCACAAGATTTTTTTAAAAAAAGGCGTGCTGTGTGCCGTCTTGCTTTTGGGTTCTGTGGCCCACCTTGTTTTAAGGGCTGTTTGAAAACATTGCCAAAATCTATCAAAATCCTCCTCAAAGCCTGAAATCTTTCAACCCATCAAAACGCATGACCACTGCACCTCCGGTCTCCAGCGGCACGAAGGATGAAGGATCGCGCAAGTAGCAAACACGGTCGGTTCCTCAGGTTCACCAAAAAGGGCCGTCTGAGAAGTCTTACACTTGTAGAACTTATGTGCTCAAATACAGGATCTAAAGTTTAGTCCCTGAGTTGGAGCAGTGTCCTCCAGGGTAGGATAAATCTGGCGTGGCCAAGCATCGAATCTGCATGTTTCCTGCCTTCATCTTTGGATTTGGCTGCAATGCCCCAGGTCTCGAGGCCTTGCAAAAACCGATCAGAAAGTGACTGAGACATTTGGGACGAGAAAGAGGACTGTCTCCATCGTGAAGATAGAGAACAAGCGACCAAAACCCAGCAAAGATAGCAAAGGTCTATTGATTGACTATGAATCTAGTAGTAACCCCCAGCGTTTGCATCAAACATGACCCACATGGGGTATCCCAGGGTCCTCCTCTACAGCACAGGAACATACCCCCCAAAATAAAGAGATCATAAATATCTTTCTATAGTATGAAATTATGAAACCCCTGGGTTTAGTATCGGATCTATTCATTCTAGGGGCCAAAGGTAACTCATATCACACTGGCTAATCTGGCTATTTCTATCTCCATTTCTGGATGGTTAAACCATGTGAAACATACACCACCCAATGGGCCGCACCAGCAACTGCAGTTCCTCCTGGATCTTTCTAAGCTGTTCAGGAGGCACAACACCATCCAGCACCACCACCTGAGATGGTGGCTACTTGGAGATCCACAGATTGTATACCTAGACATATTGTGATATACCTAGATATTCCTAGATATACAGTAGCCACATATATACTTAGTAGTCTTAGTATCGTATTGAATAGTTTAGTTAGTGGATAGTTTAGTCAGTGGATAGTAACCACGATAGCAACCATGATGATGGGAAGTCTCTTCACATCCTTAGCTTGGGCTAAGCGCGTGACTAGCTTGCAACCATGGCTATGCCGCTATGCCATTTGCAGGGATGCACATTCCCCCAACAGAAACAACAGAAACTACATGGTCAATGCTAGCTCGCAAGTCAACCTAAGAGTCTCTGAAAATTCGGCCGAACGCCCGAACGACAGGCGGTTCGACCTATGCACTACGACCAGGCCTATGCCTTTCTTAACCAATTTGAGTCAGTTTGAGATCGAGCTTTCCACTTCTGAAAACAGTATGGCCAATTATGGCCAAGATTGAAGGTTGTTCTCACACGTGGAACATGCAACTGTCGAACATGTAGAAAACGGTTTTAAACGCTAAACACACCCAAATTGTTCAAAAATCTTATGGTTTACCACACACCCCGCCATATCTTGAAACCTTAATATCCATGAATAACTATATCTAATATGTTTTTATGTGTGTATATATATATACAGTATACATAGTCTACGAGTTTTGTGCTTAGTGTTACCTGTGCATCTGCAACATACTACCGCATTCTGGAACATGATGCGGTACACCCAGGATAACACCCAATTGAGTAAGATTCATGATAATACGGGATAAGCCCCAAATGGTTAAAATGGTTTATGGCATTGCTTGTGAATTATGTATATATATATATATTATATATATATACGTATATCATAAGTATCATAAACATAAATAACTGATAACCATCATGACCAGCAAATCTGCTGAATCTTCCCAACCATTCCAGCTACACAGATCCCATCCCACCTCCTTGGCTATGAGCCGCTCAGCCGCCCAGCAGATCAAGCTTTCAGGCAATAGTCCTTTGGAGATCAGTTCCACCTTCGAGGTTCCGGATGCTCAACTTTCGATGGGGCTTCTGATGAACGGCTGGAAAATTGGTCCACCAATGGACCATGAACTGTGGAAAACATGTTCCACAAAAAAAAATGGGGCCCTATGAAGCCACATTCTTTTACAATCCCCTTTTATGGGACAATAAACCATGCTTTGACTCTGACCATGTCACACATATTTCTTCGAAAACATCGTTTGGTTGGTACATTCAACCCATCTTGGTGTCAATTCAGATTGGCATCATCAGAGATTGAAAGGATTAAGATGGATTAAGTTTGAAACCCAGCACTGGAATTACAACAGCCCAGCGCGAAGGCACCCAGCCCATCTTGCACAAATCCCTCAATTCGCCCTACCTCTGAGGCCGTTTGCCCATCACGGAGCAGAGGCACCCAAAGGCCATCGTAGAAGGCCCAAGTAGCTGTGCCTGCCTTGGCGGAAGCCACGTGGCTCAACAGGCCTCCTGATATCAATCTAGGAATCCACTTTGAGGGGAACTCAGCAACATAAGGTGGATACGGTACCCGAGTTTGACCCATAACTTCCACGTTTCCAAATCCACCAAATGCTGAAAGCTTGATAAGCTGACTTCAAAGTGACTCCTGCCGTCAGAAGGAACGGAACGGCCGACTTCAGCACGGACACCCAGCTAGCACTTTGGCCATCGATTTTCTCCTGGCATAAATGAGACAATGCCCAGATAATCCTACTGTCCAAAAACAAAAACAATGCCGAACATTGAAAGCAACCATGACATCAAAGAAACTAATGGTCACAAGACAGATAAAGAATCTTGTTTTTTTAATCATATTTCACTAACCTGAAATAAGGTCATTTGGGGATGATTCCACATGCCAACCATCATTCCAGGCCGCCAGGCCCATATCTCCTTGGCTTTGGCGAGGCCGGCCACGGAGTCCGCAGTGGACCTGTAACTTGGCCGCGGCTTCATTCCATATAGGGAAGAACGATTTTGAACCATGAGGCACCCTATTCTCAAACAAATCCACAAAATAGATCAAAATAGAAGATCTACTAAGAGAACTCACTGATTTCATCTACCCGGTAGGACACGGTCAAATCATGTTTGTGATAAACCTGTTTTTCAAGGATGCAACCGTTGTACAGTTTTCCACAGCAAATCACAGGCAACCGCTGCAAGCCCCACCTAAAGTGTCTGCAAGCACGTTTTTGAATCGTAGCGAAGCAGCGCTGCATCGCCATGGCAACATTGTACCTCTTTAGTAGTTACGGTTCGGTCAGAAGAGTTACAATTGTGTTATGTGTCTCTGTGTGTTTATACATACATGAAAGGAAGACCGATTCTGTATATGCAGGTTGTATAGTTAGTATAGTTGCTTGTGCCCAGGGTGTCGTATGTCGTATGAGTCTTGCAGGAAATCAAACACCTGGACTCTAACTTCAGGATGTACACCCTCACTGTCAAGACTTGAAGATGAATCCAACATGGTGATATCCAGTGGGAAAATCCTCTCCGTTCAGGAGGCTTTGGGGCTTTGGGGTATCAGCCACGATTGAGGTCCAAACCGTTGGCAGGAGTCTCCGCCATTTTGCGTGCGGGTCGCTTAGGGACGTAAGTGAGCAATGAATTCATGCGCCTTGGCGCTAGAGGGGTATTTCCAAGGATCACACTCCAGTGGCCAGCTCCAGGTGATGTAATTTTCTGCACCATGTCGAAAAAATGTCGCATGTGAATTACCTCGTCAAACACCGGAGCTTCGGCACCAAGTTCACCAAGGCCCCACTCAGACTGCGCTGGCTTTTTGGAGACGTGCAGTGTTCTCCATCTTGGAGCGCAACTGCACCATTTGGAACACACGGCATTACGGCAAGCTCCCATTCGGGAAGTTGTAGCTGGTCACTTTGGGTCAACTGACCAAAGACCATAGAAAGAATGGATGCACTTGTGAGCAGTGGTGGATTGATAGGGATCCCATCCTGCATTAATCCCGAATATACTGGGTAATATAATCCCCTATTATCACCAGCCAACAAGCATTTTGGACACCGCTCTTGTGTAGATTTCAATGCACTAAACACAAATGAGCGCCACAGTGCGTCTTTTTTTGTAAAGGCGCCACTGTGTCACTGTGTCCCACACCAAAAGATGTGGCTTGGTTGATAGGGGCTTGAATCGTCAATAGGGATGAACCTCCAAAGATGGTGAATCCCTGGACATCAAGTCGCCTGACCCCTGGCCGTTGGCAGCGAAGTTAGTCGTCTTTGCTCCGCAATGCTACAGAGGTCTCTGAGGCCAGGATCTTCCACCTGCGAATCGACAGAAGATCATGGCAGGATGAAAGATGGGGGTGCCACGGTGCCATTTCTATACATTTTTCCATTGAAAAATTCTTACTGTTTGGATGCCCTCGATGTCAACCCCGGACCGCTAAACCCTTGTTGATGAACGACAGCTCGTAATTATCGATCCGAGGTTGACATTAATGAAAAGGATGATGAGCAAATTAGGATACCAAAAAACAGGCCACAAAAAAAAGAAATGACCAAAATCTGTGGTCCATTGTGGTCCCCTGGGTCTTCGATGTTGACCCATACCCATACAGCAAAAACCAAAGCATGTTCCATTTTCAGTGTCACTCAACCATTCTGAATATCATCTTACACGACCGTGTTCAAAGTACCCTAGCAAAATCGGGATGTCGCAACAAGAAAACTGGCATACCATAAACTAAAATGGGTAGGTAACCAATGAAACACTCACTGTCAGAGGCCCTGCATCCTGCTTCCCCTGCTGCCTCATTTTGTTGGCAAACATTCACTAACGTCAACAAGTGGGGAATGCTCAACATTCGATCTATGAAATTCCCGGCACCGAGCAGCTGGATTGTCAACACCTCATAACAGATTCCAAAATACGGTGCCTGAAAATGCCTAGCCAAAAACTACAAGTTGTTTGTGGGGACGAAAAATCTCCAAACTGTCGATTCAACCTCAATAGTGGTTCTGGCCCCCTTCTTGCTGGTGATATTCCCATCCCCGTCACCAAAAACCGGACAATGCAGGTGACACAAAAAATGCATATCCGCTGCCCCAAAAAAGGGAAACCTTGGACAATTGGCCCAGAGCGTTGAAAGGAAAACAGCAACCATCTCTCTTCCTTTTCAAATGTTGGATGGGTTTGTCTGAAAGTAGTGCATCCAAATCCTAAAAGTTAATCAACAGAATCTCAATTTACAGTAGGATGCCATGAAGTGATTGCAAATTCCCCATTATTCAGACACCCTCCCCCTCTCGACTAGACTTGATCAAGTCTCTAGTTTTCTTGGATCATATCCCCATTTTTCTTGAAATCCCCATATTTCTACAGTGGAAATCCCCATTTCATCAAGGGTCCCCATCCCGGATCCCCCAAAAAACGCCTTCTCCACGATCTCGACTCGTGAGGGTCCGGCCGATCTCCGTGAAGTGGAAAGAGGCGAGGACAGCGGCCTTGGGAATTTCTGCCCCAATGGGACCCCCTGGCTGGGGGTTCTTATGGGAGTAGTATGGGAATGGGGGTCCTAGCAGCCAGGGGTCCCTGGAAATTCCATGGCTTTCTGGCTGACCATCCAAAATGTATAGATCTGGCTATAGGTCAAAACCCAATCAGTAAATGGTCCAAGAAAGCACCTTGGATCTCTTCACTACACCAAGTACCACTTTTCAAAAAACATAATTTTAAAAAAATACATCCGCCAGTATAGTTGGTGTTGATCCCTATATAGATATGGCTGCTGTCCAGAAATCAATGGCGATCAATGACAAACAAATCAATAAATAGAACTCCCTGAGGACGCTGCGAAAGTCTTGGTACTGATGGTGGAGGATCGCCAAAGTCTCTCCGAGGCACCTGGCGTTTGAAACCCGGCGGCGACTCATGATGTGATGTTTGGTGGAAACCAACCATTTCCGAACAGACGCATGGTCCCAAGTTGGCGATGTAAAGGAAAAATATGTATACATACATTTATCATTTAATAATACTGTATGTAAATAAATAAATAAATAAATGTATATATATAATTATATATACACAGTATATGTATGTGTATGATACACAGCTTTCATAAAGCAACAATGAGTTTCAGGAACAATTTGGAATTACATAAAGGTAAATCCACAACTTTTTTTTTGATCAAAACTACTTTTGGCCCGGAATCTGGGTACTGGTCCAAATTCCACCTCCTGCTCGACCTCAACTTCAATCTCCTCGGAGAACGAAACTGAAGGAGTGGTGCCTGCGCAGTCGAACACTGGGGATAGGTCAAAAACGGGATACCAATACCCATGTACCCGTAGAATTGGTATATAGCAGGGCATTGTTTTGTATAGGCCATATTTTTTGCGGTCAATAATTTTGACCCATACCTAAGCTATGCAGCTATACCCTCTGGCAAACAAACCTGGCACTGGCAGGTTGGACCCCCCAAATGCCTCCGCGCTGGTACAGCTCTGGGGCTTCTGGGTAGAAGCTCCTTGGTTGACTGGCTGCACTTTCTCGCCGTGGCTGAGACAACTCGGCCACCTCTTCCTTTGGGTCAAACAGCTCCTGGGTGAGCCGCTACCCGAGCCCCAAGGGTATTCGCCGACTGCGATCATTTCCCCTCCTGTGATGGATAAAAATTGACCAGCTGTTCTTTAATTGCGAATCCAAGTGTTTTTCTACCCATCATTGTTGATTGCATCCCTGCAGCGGGGCTATCAAAAAAAAGCACCACAACCCTGTTGAAACCAAACCCAGCAGCAGCATCTACATCCACAGTGATCAGTTCTTCCGTCACCGTCCGCGCCAGCAGATTGCCACGCGCACAGAGAGGGGGAGGTTCCGAGGGCACCGACAACTCTTCATAATCCTCATCCACTTGGACTTCGGGCCTGAGAGCTTCAAAGGAAGGGGCGGCGGCATCGGCCGAGAAGATGAAACGGAAAGGGTTCCCATATTGGATTCTTCTACTCCCCACTTAGTATGACACCATCACCATCAACGCTTTGGGGTAACATCAAAAAAAAACATGCCAAAAAGAAACTCCTCAGTCGTGATCCATGAGTTCATGATCTATTTTACTCGCATGGATGACCCTAGTCCACTGAAGATTCTGAGGTCCAAGCTGCGCGCTTGCCTGCAGCCAACTATCAAACCCACTGTGGCAGGGTGAAATGAGCAATCCAGAGAATAGCAACAATGGTCAGAAATGGTTTCAGAACACCATTGTTTGCTGGTCAATAGTCTGGTTTAACCCCATGTTTCTAGCATATGTATGTTTCTATATATATATATATACATATATGTTGTATTGTATCATGTATTGTATCATGTAATGTAATGTCATGTAATGTCATGTAATGTAATGTAATGTAATTAATGTAATGTATGTAATGTATGTAATGTATGTAGTGTATCTAGTGTATCTAGTGTATGTAGTGTATGTAGTGTATGTAGTGTATGTAGTGTATGTAGTGTATGTAGTGTATGTAGTGTATGTAGTGTATGTAGTGTATGTAGTGTATGTAGTGTATGTAGTGATGTAGTGTATGTAGTGTATGTAGTGTATGTAGTGTATGGTATTTATGGTATGTATGGTATGTATGGTACGTATGGTACGTATGGTATGTATGGTATGTATGTATGTAATGTAATGTAGTGTAATGTAGTGTAATGTAGTGTAATGTAGTGTAATGTAGTGTAATGTAGTGTAACGTAGTGTAACGTAGTGTAACGTAGTGTAACGTAGTGTAACGTAGTGTAACGTAGTGTAACGTAGTGTAACGTAGTGTAACGTAGTGTAACGTAGTGTAACGTAGTGTAACGTAGTGTACTGTAATGTAATGTCTTGTAATGTCATGTCCTGTAATGTCATGTAATGTAAGTATGTATCTAGCTATCTATCTATGTATCTAATTGTATAATTGTATAATTGTATAATTGTATAATTGTATAATTGTATGTATGTATGTATGTATGTATGTATGTATGTATGTATGTATGTGTTTATTTATTTATTTATTTATGTCGTTGATTTATTCATCTATTGTTTATCTATTTATTTGTTTACGTACATATATATATATACATATATACATAGTAGAGGTAGAGGTGTATGTATAATTATAGATGTATGATTCACTATCTATGATCGTCTATCTATATCATCTGTACACTGGACAGTATATGCATTTGATGGGATGACCAGACCTCATCTGCTGGGTGCGCCTCTACCACTGTGACTGTGACCTCGACCACATTCTCTGCACCCAGAAGTCTCTCCTGCTTTCGATGGATCCAAGGGTCTGGGGATAGCACAGCATCGAAAAGGGATGGTTTCAGGGATGGTTTCAAATAAGCGGAAAACCACAAATCTGGGTTTGTTTGAAAATTGGCTATGGTGCCCATAAAATTGCAATTTCAATGGGAAAATGATGATTGACCATTAGATTTGGGATACCCAATTCTCGGACAACCCACTTTGGATAGGAAGCCAATAGCAATTGGACGGTTTCATCTTGAAGCCCCAACACATACCAGAAATTGATGAAGTCAGGCACATTCAGGCACAATCTATAGGGGATTTGTTGGGTCATTTAAGCACAATCTCAGGCAATTAGTAAATTGTCCCGCAAAGTGTGGAGATATGAGGACGAACCTGATCAAAGGCCACCCCACAAAATGGGGTACCCCTAAATCCATCGGTTTATCCTCCCTTTTCCAATCTAAATTGCCATTTTGGGGTGTACGGTGTACGGATATATCACTTTTTGGGGCAAACCCGAAATAAGGGCTGTTACAACGGAGCCCACACATAATGACATGTTTCCTGGCTCTGCAAAGTCCTCCTCCACTGCCACTAGCACAGAATCTGCGACCTCCGCAGGCTCCGCAGGTTGCGATGCCTCCGCAGCCTCTGGAGGCTCCGCGGCATGCGGCAGCTCCACCTTCTCCTGCCGGGGTATGGTCATGACACCATCATGAATGGGATCTTTCTGCAAATGCCCAACCTAATGTTGGATTTGTTTACCTCTCATTCGCTGACAATAGTTGCTGCACTGAATGCATCTTTTGGCAAGCCTTCTTTGATGAAATAATGAACACTGAGAAATGTTATCCCCCGAGGCGACGACGACGACCACCACCACCACCACACACAAAAAAAAAAACAACAACAAACAACAACAAACAACAACAAACAACAACAAACAACAACAAACAACAACAAACAACGACAAACAACGACAAACAACAACAAACAACAACAAACAACAACAACAAACAACCACAAACAACGACAAACAACGACAAACAACGACAAACAACGACAAACAACGACAAACAACGACAAACAACGACAAACAACGACAAACAACGACAAACAACGACAAACAGACAAACAACGACAAACAACAACAACAACAACAACAACAACAACAACCAACCAACCAACCAACCAACCAACCAACCAACCAACCAAACAAACAAACAAACAACAAAAAACAACAACAACAACAAAAACAAAAAAAAACAACAACAAAAAACAACAAAAAACAACAAAAAAAATTAACAACAAAAAAAACAACAACAAAAAACAACAACAACAACACTAACAACACATGTTCCATTTTCCCACGCTTGGTGGATGGCATAGATCTCTACAAATGCTCTCTGGACCCAGAAGCTCCTCTTGAACCACAGGCACAGCGTGCGGATCGGTATCCTCCCAAGACGTGCAAATACAGTGGCATAACCCATTCTTGATGAAGAAAATGATAACAACCATTGCATTTTTGGGCTGCGCAATTTTGTAAATACATGCGTATATCCCCCTTGAGCAAAATTAAACTGAATGTTGGCAGAATCGCAATTTTGTCTTGCTGTCATCCTTCCTTTGTTGCGAGTTCTAAAAGCATAGTTCAATACCCTCAATCATAGCATTGTAGTGGTTGGCCTTCAGAATGGGATACCCCACAATGCAGGGATTGTAGATATTGTAGTATAACCCCCGACCCCCGAAGCAATCATCAACCAACAGGGTTTCTCCCACCTCTGTGGCGGTCATTGACATGTTCCATTCAGAAGGAAGCACCAAGGCCGATGCCTCGAGCACATCGAGCCAACCGAGCCAAGCCAGCCCAAAATGATAGAATGAAACCAATGAAGATTGGGATTGAACGGGATTTAAACCAACAGAAACTGGGATTTAAAATGATTTATTTAATTCACAAAATACTGGTAATATCATTGCTTTCAATGGATTGGCTTCAGCAAAATGTTTAGGAACAACCTCATCTTACCATGTAAATATAGGGTGTGCTGCAATTTCTTCCTTAAGCCCATTATGGGAAGTGTGCGTATGGATAAATCAACCAACAGACTGGGTATGGGTCATGTCGACAAGGATATGATCACCACTGAGCACCTAAATGGAGATTGGGCCAACCCACAATCACAGGGGAAATCACAAACATGTCATGGAGTGATTTAAGTGAAATTTGACAGAAAAGCATTGTTTTTACCATGAAATATTTTTGCAGGGTTACCATGAACCTTCCTTTCATCAAATTCCGGGACATACAGTTTGGAAAAAGTTGAAAATCACCCTTACCCCATTTTGTAGTCGATGACTCTGTTGAAAATTTGGATTTCCCATTGCCAGATTTGTTGGCACCAGAGGCTACTCGAAATGCAGTCGTTTGTTGCTATCGTTTCAAGTATATCTATGTTGATGCAGTCGGATGTTTTCTTCTTTTCATCAAAAAAACAAGCATGTGCGTTGCCAGTAGTCGCATGGCAAGTACACCAAGGTTCCAATAACAAATATGTGGTACATATCTTAAAACTTGGTGCCTCCAAAATCTTTGGCATGTTCATTCATCCTCGCGGATGATCTTGGGATGGGGGATACCCACAGCTTTAAAGCTATTTCACTCGGGAAAATCTAGGGAAAATGATGATTTGTTCCATTGGAAAATGACTCACCAGCATGCATCTTGCTGTTCTCCAGCCGAGGTTCTGGGACTTGCGGTCTCTTGGGCTTGTGAAAAAAGACTTGAACATTCATCGGAACGCTATGGCCGTCTAGTTGTACATCTAACTTCCCATTGAAACCATCATCCAAAAGATGTGCCACCGGAATGAGAGCTCGCCCACGAAGCTTTGGTGGGGTTTTGCCCTTCCAATGATACACCTTGGTCACTGAAAAAACGCAAAGAAAAACAAAGAAAGCACCCAAAAAGATCCCGTTATATGATCATACGGCATGGCCTGAATGATTTTTCAAGAGTTCTACCAATGACAGGTTTTTTCCCTGTCTCATCCAAGAAACCGAGAACAGGAGCTGGTTGTCCTCCGAAGCTGTAAAAACACCTTGGGAAACACCTCAGATGCTCCCATTGTTGGTCTATTTTGCAGACACCGGTAGTTTGGGGGTGAACGTGTTGCAGGAGTTATATAACAAACACACATGGCTCACATGTTAAAATAGGCCCTTCGTATCCATATTCACTGGATGCAAAACTCACTGGAAATCTGGCTTCGGGTGTCAGATACGAAGGCAGGTTAACATGTAAAACGATGCAGAACTTCCCATTTTAAACGACCTCGACATCACGATGAATTTCGGGAATTCTTTGCGAAAAACTGCTAAGTTGTATATAACTTATATAACTGTTCACTGACTTGTTATTTGTTGTCCTAAAACTGAATAAAAGTAACATGAAGTTTTTTCTACTAATCTTTTTTTTTGTTCGGGTACTGGCTGTACCGTCGGCCATAAATAGGATTTCTTGCATCAAACGTTCGAAATGGGCGGTCAGGAAAAAGTTACGATTGCGAGGCGTACTTCAATTTTGAATACTCCCACGTTTCAAGACCAAAAATGTGAAAATCCATGAGCCAAAAATAACGAATAGGGTTTATTGATTATGATGTAAAAATATAATATACTATATTATATCGAATGATAAAATGAAAAAAGTATAATGAAATATAATATATAATATAATATACATATAAATATAAATATAAATATAAATATATATATATACATAAAAAATATATAAATACAATATAATATAATATAATATGATATAATTAGTACAATGTGATGCAATATAGTATGATATAATATAATGTAATATAATACGATATAATACAATATAATACAATATAATATAGTACAATGTAATGTAATATAGTATGATATAATATATTATAGTTCAATCTAATATAATATAGTATAATATCATATCACATCCTTTAATACAATACAGACAATATAATATAACATAACATGATATAATATAATATAACATAATAAAATCAAATGTGATTTAAGATGATAAAATATAATTTAAAAAAATGTGACATATTATACTATAATAAAATGCTATTTAATGAAATATAATACGGTAAATAAATTTTCAATAATAAAATGTAACTGATATAATCTAATACAATACAAGAAAATAACATAACAAAATAATTCAATATAATAAAAACAATTCAAAATAAAATATAATATAATGTAATTTTAAAAAATATATATATATATTACAATAAAAGTTGAAAAATAAAAAATAACATTTCATAATTTAAAATATGTGTTAAAAAAAAAAAACATTAAAACAGAATCTAACTTAATATATCATGATCACATTTGATTTAATATATGTATATATATAATCTAATCTTCTATACTATATTGTACTATACTATGCTATACTGTACTGAAAAAAACGAATATAACATAACGTAATACAATGTATTATAATATAATATAGTATAATATGATAAATAAAAATACAATATAGTATATCCAAAAAAGAGACTATAATAAAACAAAATTTGAAATACAATGTCATATAATGCAATATAATATAATACAAAAATATTACAATATAATCTTAATACAATATAATTAAATATTATTTAATAAAATATCTTATAACTGAACTCAACTTTATATGAAATACCATAATATGATATTGTCAATATGATATAATGTGATTTAATATTAATATTATATACTATACTTCATTGTAATATTAAATAATATTCGATTCTTTACTATACTTTACTGTAATATTAAATAACAAAGAAGAAGCCCTGTGTCAAAGTTGACAACAGTTATTGAAGCTATTGCTGGGATTGAGAAAAACTGCCATTTTTCATCCTTCATCTTACCCCCGTTTTTGTATGTCGTGTTCCAAGCCACGATAAGAGCCTTCATCTTGCATCCGCTCAAAGGATTGGGAAGTGTCAGGACACCCAGCAACTTCACAGGTAACCCGAAAGGGTTTCCTTGGGTCTCGTGTCTCAAGACTGGCCTTCGAGGTATCAAGAATACATTCAGTAAGTGTCTAAAACCCATCACACAAACCTAGGTAACATCTTTGTTACAAAAGAAAAACTAGCAGGGAAATTCTTCAGCGAAACGTACTTTTACTTGAAATACGTTTGCTTGAGGTACTGTACATGTTTCGACGAGCTGGTCAGCACTTTTGGGAAAGGAAACACTCAAGATATCCAAATGAGCGCTCAAATAGGATGCTGGTCACATCATGTTTTACCTAAGTGGTTAGCAGAACTGACTCATTGCAGGCTCCGTTTTGACTCATCCAAAAAGTCCAAAAAATGCCCATGTTTTGTGAAGCATCCACTCTTGGGGGGCATTGCAGTCCAACTTTGCGTTCTTATCCCCATACCCATTCGATTTGCGGGTGCCAAGTCTTGTCATGTCTTGTCCCATCCGCAAATCAGCAAAGAAATGTTCTCGCGTCCCCAAATGAGCAATGTTTCTTTCCCTCATTTTGAGTCCACTTTATACCTGTGGTACAAATGCCCGTAAGCCAAGAGGCTTTTTCTTGACCTTGGACTTGCTTTAGGGGGAACACAAAAATTGAAGAAAAAAACACTAGTTTCACCAAATGGTGGATTTATCAACGGAAAAGTATTCAGAAACATGTTCAAAAACTTCAAGTGACCTTGTACTCCAAGACTTCCAATGAGCCCATTTTGACCTCGTACATTTGTAAGGACTCCAGAGAAGGCCACGGCAAGACCGGATGGGAGGCCTCCTCGTGGCCAACGCGTTTGCTCGTCTTCGCGCTTTCGAACCAATAAAATGACATGATCATCAGGACGGCGGCCGACACCAAGACTGGCAGCAGCCTCGGAGAGAAGAGCCACGTCCCGTTTCGACAATTTGGCCAACACTAAAACTTCATGTTTGAAAAGGGGGAGTGAAAAAGGTCTAAAACCACCAAGCACTTTGCCTCACGTGGCACTCTTGGTTTCTGACCAAGTTTCCAAGTCATGAGGAGGTCAATGAGGCTGGTGTAGAACCATTTGGTCGCATCAGATGGGCTGACAGAAGCAATGAAAATGCACACCACCCCAACGCACAGAAAAGTGTAGCAGAAAAGAAAGGACCAGAAGATTGCCCGCCGAATCGACAAACGTAACCTGGTGGTCTGAGCCCAAAAATATGAGCTTATAATATAATATACACTATCAATTGGGATCATTCATTACAGTATAGTACATTACATTATATTGCATTATGTTATATTGTATTATATCATATCATATCATATGCTACAATTTAATATAATATTATATTATATATGTCCCCTTTTGTTAGAATAGAAATCACTGAAGCCACCAACAAGTTGCTTTCTCAATCTGTAGAAGAAGAAGACCAGCGCTACGAAGGGCAAAGCCCCGAAAGCTGAGGAGATCAGCGACACCGTAAAGGCCCGAACCAACTGATCCAAGAGGCCTTCTACGGGGGTACAGCCATCCTCAGGGTGGGTCCCACCTATGACCAAACCCTCTGATTTCGGTCTTTTTCGGTGTTAAGCCATGTGATTTTGTGCTTCGAATTCGATATGGTTTCGTTTATAACAACCCCCAAATACCAAAGTTGGGCATGGTTCAGTGGTGTTACCCACATATCAGATGTATCAATCTTCAAGCATCTTCAAGCCATGATCCAACTTGGAATTTCTGTCCCGCACCTCCTCGCCCGGAGCAATGGAACTCGCTCCATAGAAGACGGCAGACAGCGCCCAACCGCTGTAGATCTTCCCCAGAAGCACAGAGGTCCGAACCAGGCAGGTGGTCTTGGGGGAGGGATGAAAAATGGAAAACCAGATGCAATTCATACGGTACCAGAAGGAAATCCTGGGATGTTGCTGAGCAGCTTGTGATTTATTGGCCCCAAATATGTACTAATCATATACATAATTATATAATATATACACATACACACATTTACATAGACAGACAGTACAACGACATACAATGACATACATATGTTTACTGATACTGTGTCTTCTAAGTAAGTTCTCCCTAAAATATGTGGATGAACCAATGGGAAAACTGGAAAACTTAAAATGACTCAGCAAATCCTGGCATCCGCTTTCCAATATGTCTGTTTTCAAATTCACGTAAGAAGCATTCTGCTCTCTTATGCACCGAGGTGTGCCCTGCGTGTTTGTACAATTTATTGAGCTCTTGAAGGCTCAATCCCAGGCGTGCCCTGAGCATCCGAGAATAGGCGATTCGAATCGGACCTCTCAGGGATAGTGAAATTTCTGGCATCCACTTTCGATTGGTTGAAAGGAAAGCTCACAAAGGAAACACAGAAACCCTTGTACAATTTTGTACATCAAATATCGGGATTTCCTTTGGCTATTTCCTCAAAACCAATTCTAGGATTGAAACATCATCAAATCATATCAAATCAGTCAATAATGGGCCTGGTTCCTCAAGTGGACCCATGAAGCTGGTAGATCTGGTGGATTACCCAAAGGTGACGCTTTGTCAAACTTTCCCCAAAGGGGGGCAACCCCTGCCTGTGTCAAACAGGAAACGAACTTCATCCAAAATTAGAGCCTGGATGCTGTCATGATGATGTCCTTTGACATCCCTTGATTTCTCCAGTCTGTCCACATGCCTCAAAGCAGAGATGAGCTGAATCTGTTCCACCGCTCCTTGATGTTTTCGGTCAGCCTTACGAGCCCTGGCCATTAGGCTGGCCCCAAGGAGCAGAGTGATCCAGTTGAGGATAGCGGACCATTCGAAGATCCACAGCCGACTCCCCAAGCTGCGCAGCCCTTTCTCTGAAAAAATGGCCGCGGCATTGCTGCATGCCAGGGCCGCAAAAGCACTTTTCAGAATGGCTCCAAAAATCGACAAATGGCTGGTGGCACAGATGATGGTCCCGTTTTGGACAGACACCAGGGAAACTCCTTCGGTAGACCATTTCTTCGTTTGTTCGTCCAAATATGCACATGTTGCTGGTTGACTGCCATCACTGACCAGGGTCAACTGAATTGGTTCCACCAAATCTTTCATTGCTGTCCCATTGGCAAAGAGATCAAGACTCAGAATATCCGATTGCATGCCACCCTCACCTGGTCATTGGTGACTTCAGCTAGAAAACTGTGCTGATGACCATGGTTCAAACATGCCCGGGTCCCATACAATGACCACCAAATTCATCTAATGTGTCTAGGAGCTATCTGAGACAATGGGAACTAAAGCCTGGCACCTCTCTTTAAGCCCGGAAAAGCCCGGTGATGTTGGCTGCTGTGGCAAAAAGGGGGGCCTTTTAAAATTTCTCAACCAGAGTTGAAAGTGGTCCCGGCACCGCGGATGCTCATGTGATGTGGTTAGAAGTTAGAGTGTCATGGTTGATCATAGATTGAAATCAATACCAAAAAGATCCAAAAAGACCCAGAACCAACTTGTCCCCATCTTTCATCCCCCACAAAAAAACAAACAAAAAATCCACATCTTTCCAGTCACTGCTGTTCAGCAGGTTGAAAAGTGGGCTGGTGGTCGGCAGCAGCCCCATGACGGCCACGCCCGGAGCTCCCAGGCTTTCCAGGATGGCCGATGGCACCTCCACACTGATGTTGCCATAGCCGAAGGCCACCGGGCTGCCGTCCTCCGGGACCGCGATGGCCACCCCAACTAGCACCGTGCCGTCCTCCTGGACGTCCACCCTCTGGGCCAACACACCAGTGGAGGAGTTGGTGTTCAGGCCATCCAGCAAACCCAAAAAGCTCAGTTTTGAAGCCTCCAGGTTTCCCAAAGCATTCTGCAATGCCTCATCAAAGGGTAAAACTGATGAGGAAGTGCTGGAAGAGGAGGTCGTTGTTGTGACTGTGATGGTAGTGGTACTAGTGGTAGTGGTACTAGTGGTGGTCGTAGTGGAGATGGCATACCATGCTGTTGGCGTGCTCCGGGTGGTTGGCACCGCACTGATGTCATTCTGAAAGTACAAGGGGATCCAGGACACGTTGTCAGCCGACCCCCAAACAGCAAACTGGACTGGGTCTCTTTCAATCGACCCACTGCTGGTGATGAACCTAAATGCTTGGAGCATGACAGGCGAACCGAGATCAACACGAAGATAACTGCTGCCCAGGCCTCTTTTCGGGGTCGAGCTGGTTGTCGTCAGTGTGCTTGAGCTGATGGAGGTGGTGATCGACCGGGTCGTGGTGGATATGGTGGAAGTGCTTGTGCTTCGGGTGATGGAGGAGGTCATGGTAATTGTGCTGGCTGTTGATGAGGTGGTTGAGCTGGTGCTGGCAGTACCAGTGGTGCGGGTCGCGGACGACGAAGTGCTTGTGACCCGAGTGCTAGTGCTAGGGACGGTGCTGGTGGTGCTACTGGTTGTGGTGCTGGATGTGCTGCTGGTGGATGTCCAGCTGGTGGATGTGCTTGTGGTGGACGGGCTGCTGGTGGACGTGCTGCTGGTGGACATGCTGCTGGTGGACGTGCTGCTGGTGGACGTGCTGCTGGTGGATGTGCTGGTGGTGGACACGCTGCTGGTCGTGGTGGTGGATGTGGTTCTGGTGGATGTGGAGGTCATGGTTCTGCTGGTCCACGTCCAGGTAACCCAGGTTCGTGTGGTTGAAAAGCCTGTCCAGGTCCATGTTCTGCTGGTCCAGGTCCAGTAGGTCCTGCTGGTGCTTGTCAAGCTGGTGGTGGCTGAGGTGCTGGTGCTGATTGAGGTGGAAGTGCTGCTGGAGCTGGAGGAGGTGCTGGTGGAGGTGCTTGTGGTGGAACTACTGCTGCTGGAGCTGACGGTGCTGGAACTGCTGCTAGTACCAGTTGCGCTGGAGGTGGTTGAGAAAGTGGAGGTGGAACTTGGCCATGTGGAGGTGGAGCTTAGCCATGAGGAGGTGGTATCACTGACCGTCGAGGTGCTGGATCTTGATGTGCTATGAGTGACAGAACTGCTGGTGAATGTAGCGGTGGTGCTGCTGGTGTTGGTTCTTGTGGACGTCGACGTTGTGGTGCCACTGGTGGTGCTGATGCTCGTGCTGCTGATGCTCGTGCTGCTAATGCTTGAGCTGCTGATAGTGGAAGTGCTGCTGGTAGATGTGGTTGTACCCCACCGCTTGATGGTGAAATTGGGACCAACCTCAGGGCAGGCTAACTATGGGCTATAAAACCAGCTTGCAAACTAATAGTGGTGAGTTGAAGGGATAAAGATTTGCTGTTGGCCAAATGATTTCTGTTCTTCCATGTTCTTCTATCCTGTGATTGTGATGAATCATATATTTATATTATATATATATATATTTATTTATTTATATATATATTTATATATATATACATATATATATATATGTTTTCCAAGAGTTTCATTCAAAATCTTGCGCCTCCACCGCCGCATCGTAAAGATCCAGGATTGCCCCAGCGGCCAGCAACTGAAACTCCTCAATGGCATACTCTGCAGCAAGGAAAGGGCCCTCATGGGCCCAGGCACGCGCAGCGGAGGTTGAAAAAACGATCATTTGGACACTCACCTGTTGCGAGACCCAGGTATCCCACAAATCCATTTTGCATCGATTTTGAGTGGCTCAGGTAAGTGTCTTGATGTGTCTTGAAAAGGACTATCATGGACACCCATATACGCGTTTTGTGGGTAAACGCCTTGTGAAATAATCCAGTTGTAGCTGGAATATGTTTCAGTTCAATGAATGAGTTGTTAACAATCATTTACTGCATATACATATACATACTGTATCTAACTAGGATGCACATCCAAGTGGACTCTGGCTCAACTATGACTGCACCAGCTAAGACAATGCTGGTTTCGATAAATTGGTTCAAGGACTTTTGATACAGTAAGACTCTGGGTTTTATTAGCATCCAGTCTAGGAGGGTTTCCTGCAAATTATCTTTAAGAATAAGAAACCTAGGAGTTGGTTGGCTACATGTCCCTTCAACAAAGTTTGGCTGCGGATTTGGCTAGCTGATCGAAAATTGCAAGATTTCTTGATTTAAGAGTCTACTTGATTTGGGGAAACCTTCAAAAGAGTCGAGAAGATGCCCCAAGTTGCGTGAGGTTCCACCATTTCAGGTGATGTTACAATGCGACAACCTCACGAAGAAAAAGACAAATAGTATAGAGACGCCGAGCCTCCTCCAATGAGATGTTTTGGACATATATTTCGAAAAGATCGCTGGTTGTGCTTCTGGATCTTGTGGTGTTGTAGTTTGGCTCTTCGTGCAAGATTAACCAGTTGGAACCATCCATTGAGCCATGCAGAGCAAAACCTCAGATACCCAATGTTCTGCAGTAACTGCTGTGGGTTTCCAGTTTCCAGAAGTTTTTTTGTTGTTTATTTCTCAAGGAATGCATGTTCGCTATATTTCTTAGTACATAACAGGTCCTCTTCTTGACTTCTCCAGGTTTGTGTTTGCGGTGAAGCAGGTCGCCATGGCCTCATCTGGGAGTCATCTCTAGGCCAATCCCTTGCAGCTTGGAGACCTAACGGGTCCTGGAGGTCAGACCCTGCGGCAGTCTGAAATCGATAACCACAAATGGACAGCGGAGATACCAGAGTCAGCACGACTGGTTCACATCCTGAGCTGCTCCCGATTGGTCATTTGGTTTCGCTAAAACACCGCAGTGTAGGTCGAATCCCTGGTTTCCCAATTCCCAATTCAGTTACCAAAGTTTGCAAATGAATTCCCCACATCTCCATTGACCCCATGAAACCTCCACACCACCATGCCGTCAAAAGGACGTTGTTGAAAGAGCTGCACTGAGCCAGAGCCATCATCCAAAGAGAGGACCATTTCACTGGAGTCGCTCAAGAGGATCAGCTCCTTAAAGGGCAAAGTTACCCCTTTTCTTTGACCAAACTATTCAGGAATTCTGAAAATCCTTCACAAACTGCAGGTGACAAATGTCAAACAAAGATGCGACAATCCTTCTGTTTTTCCATTTTGGGTGTATATATATATGTATACCGATGAATTACCATATTTGATAATGTGTTCAGTAGACAAGCTGCGGATGCAGCACATCCACTGAAGCCACTCATCTCCAGCGCTCGCGTCCAAGATGGCACCCAGCGAAGATATTTCGTTGTAGCGCACGACACGAGTGCGCTCGCGTTCAAGCTTTGACCCTCCTACGAGGGATTTCCGACCAGAGGAATAGGGAGGCACGGAAAAACTATGGAAACAGAACAACCACTTCGGACAATTACAATCCATTGTCATTTTGGTGGACTTTAGTTCAAAAATCCGGTGGGGGCTAGACGTGTCCTTGGAGATACAGACGTATTCAACTGCAAGTATGCACGTCCAGCCCATGTGTAGCACCGCCGGTTCATTTAGCACGGCAATTCAATTCAACACTTTGTGAAACCCAAAAAGTTAGACAGTCCCTCTGTTCATCTAGAAATGCACTGGTACCCTAACATGGCAAGGTTGAGAGAATGACGTTCTGAATGACTGCGCCGCTGCGCCTCAAATAAAAGGAACAAGGTGTAGAACCTGACGCCATCATGGGCAGTGAAGCAAAGGGTCGGGGGTCATTGAGGGGTCCCATGCCATTTTGCACTTGATTTCACCGTCCGAAAACGTCTGAAAGCTGCCAAAATATTGAGACCTGACCAAACAAAATAGACTAGATAACCCTCGGGACGGATGATTGAAGACTCAAATCACCAAGAAACCAGGCCCATCTGTGATCGATTCCAAGGTTTTCAATTTTGACATCAATTCAAGAAGTCATACACCCAAACCATATTTATATCACAAACACTTCCCCGAAACTCCATGAGCAAAACAACATCGTTTCTTCCAGCAGCCAAGGATCATACATGGATAATTTCATTTCAGGCAGGGATTGATTGAAATGATGGGGTGGCCTCCAACACGTTTGGACTAAGCACCTGAGCAATTTCCAAGATTTTATTCAATTTATTTTGAATTTTGGGTTTGTACAGGTGCGTAAGAGAATGCAGAATCATGCCATGATTTAATTGTCCTATCCGTCCTATCCAATGGTTTTGATGAAGGATATATCAATGCACATGCACTCAGGCCGGAATCACAAAACAAGTTTTCGAAGCGGTTCGTTGTAATGTGCCTGCACAAATTTACTCCAAATTTTCGCATCCATTGCGGCCCCATAGGAGAAATTTCACTTATATAGGCAAATCCACAGCCGAATTGTTCATCGTATGATATCAATACGTCCCAAACATGCACAGTTCCGATTCCTGGCCCCTGCAGCAAACCAATCTGACATCTTTGTTCTTTGGCACTATATAATATATGGTAATTGCCACATGTTTGTGCCGATGTGATGCAACCAAACAAACATCATTGCATAGTCCTGTGCAAGTATGTTTGGTTTTCACAAGCATCAATCATGAACCGTTTCACTTGAGCAGAAACGGTCCATGACGGTCACACCTTTGGGAAGCACACGCCTTCAGCACTGCGGAATTTTCAACAATTCGTGGGATTGCGGCCCCTTAAATACCATTTTCCACCCAGATGCAATCACGGAAACACCTGTTTGTTGCATTTTTTAATTGTACAATGAAATATGTCAGATCAGAATCCGCCTGATTTGCACCGATTTCACGCTGAATAGTTTGTTGCCGGAGAAATTCCGGTGAATATGTTTGCAATCAAACACTAAACAAATCGGAAGCAAATTACACCGGCATAGACCCCAGATAGAAAAGGTTGGAACTGATGGTTCCCAACGTGGGAACCAAAGGTTACCATTGCAAGGAACTGCCGGTTCCCAGACCTTGAAACTTAGGGTTCCCAACCTGGGAACCAGAGGTTAGCATTGCAAGGAATTGCCGGTTCCCAGAAGTTAGTATTTATGTTTTCGAAGCTAAGCGGCTATCATTGTAAGGAACTGCGGGTTCCCAAAGCTTGAAACTCATGGTTCCAAACCTGAAAAAGCATACGTTACCAGTGGAAGGATCTGTTGATTCCAAAAAGATAAAAATCATGGTTCTTAAATGTTCTTAATGTTGTTTTGTTTCGTCTACTGAGCTGGTAACAAAGACTTTTGTTTTGCTTAATGGACCGGTAGAGGAATGTTTGCGTTCGGCTGCTGGGCCGGCATAAAAATGTGTTTGCACGAAAAAGGTGCACGTCAAAATGATATGAAAACAGTTTTTTTACAATTTTATGGTTTTGCTTAATGGACCGGTACAGAACGCTTTGTTTTGCTTAATGGACCGGTACCGGAATGTTTGCGTTTGGTTCATGGCAAGGAACTGCCGGTTCCCAAACGTTGGAACTCACGGTTGCCAACGTGGGAACCACAGGTTACCATGGCAAGGAACTGCCGGTTCCCAGACCTTGAAACTTACGGTTCCCAACCTGGGAACCAGAGGTTGCTATTGCAAGGAATTGCGGGTTCCCAGAAGTTAGAATTTATGTTTTCGAAACTAAGCAACTATCATTGTAAGGAACTGCGGGTTGCGAAAGCTTGAAACTCATGGTTCCAAACCTGAAAAAGCATACGTTACCAGTGGAAGGATCTGTTGATTCCAAAAAGTTAGAACTCATGGTTCTTAATGTTGTTTTGTTTTGTTTGCTGAGCCGGTAACAGAACCTTTTGTTTTGCTTAATGGACCGGTAGCGGAATGTTTGCGTTTGGCTGTTGGGCCGGCATAAAAATGTTTTTGCACGAAAAAGGTGCATGTCAAAATGATATGAAAACAGTTTCTTTACATTTTTATGGTTTTGCTTAATGGACCGGTACAGAACGCTTTGTTTTGCTTAATGGACCGGTACCGGAATGTTTGCGTTTGGTTCATGGCAAGGAACTGCCGTTCCCAAAGGTTGGAACTCACGGTTGCCAACGTGGGAACCACAGGTTACCATTGCAAGGAACTGCCGGTTCCCACAGGTTAGAAGTCATGGTTCCCAACCTGGGAACCAGAGGTTACCATTGCAAGCAACTGCCGGTTCCCAGAGGTTGGAACTCATGCTTCCCAACCTGGGAACCATAGGTTACCATTGCAAAGAACTTCCGGTTCCTAAAGGTTGGAACTGATGGTTCCCAACGTGGGAACCAAAGGTTACCATGGCAAGGAACTGCCGGTTCCCAGACCTTGAAACTTACGGTTCCCAACCTGGGAACCAGAGGTTACATTGCAAGGAATTGCCGGTTCCCAGAAGTTAGAATTTATGTTTTCGAAGCTAAGCGGCTATCATTGTAAGGAACTGCGGGTTCCCAAAGCTTGAAACTCATGGTTCCAAACCTGAAAAAGCATACGTTACCAGTGGAAGGATCTGTTGATTGCAAAAAGTTAAAACTCATGGTTCTTAATGTTGTTTTGTTTTTTTACTGAGCCGGCAACAGAACCTTTTGTTTTGCTTAATGGACCGGTAGCGGAATGTTTGCGTTCGGCTGCTGGGCAGGCAAAAAAATGTTTTTGCACGAAAAAGGTGCATGTTAAAATGATATGAAAACATTTTCTTTACAACTTTATGGTTTTGCTTAATGGACCGGTACAGAACGCTTTGTTTTGCTTAATGGACCGGTACCGGAATGTTTGCGTTTGGTTCATGGCAAGGAACTGCCGGTTCCCAAAGGTTGGAACTCACGGTTGCCAACGTGGGAACCACAGGTTACCATTGCAAGGAACTGCCGGTTCCCAGAGGTTGGAACTCCTGGTTCCCAACCTGGGAACCATGGGTTACCATTGCAAGCAACTGCCGGTTACCAGAGGTTGGAACTCATGCTTCCCAACCTGGGAACCATAGGTTACCATTGCAAAGAACTTCCGGTTCCTAAAGGTTGGAACTGATGGTTCCCAACGTGGGAACCAAAGGTTACCATGGCAAGGAACTGCCGGTTCCCAGACCTTGAAACTTAGGGTTCCCAACCTGGGAACCAGAGGTTACCATTGCAAGGAATTGCCGGTTCCCAGAAGTTAGAATTTATGTTTTCGAAGCTAAGCAACTATCATTGTAAGGAACTGCCGGTTGCGAAAGCTTGAAACTCATGGTTCCAAACCTGAAAAAGCATACGTTACCAGTGGAAGGATCTGTTGATTCCAAAAAGTTAAAACTCATGGTTCTTAATGTTGTTTTGTTTTGTGTACTGAGCCGGCAACAGAACCTTTTGTTTTGCTTAATGGACCGGTAGCGGAATGTTTGCGTTCGGCTGCTGGGCCGGCATAAAAATGTTTTGCATGAAAAAGGTGCATGTTGAAATGATATGAAAACATTTTCTTTACAACTTTATGATTTTGCTTAATGGACCGGTAAAGAACGCTTTGTTTTGCTTAATGGACCGGTACCGGAATGTTTGCGTTTGGTTCATGGCAAGGAACTGCCGGTTCCCAAAGGTTGGAACTCACGGTTGCCAACGTGGGAACCACAGGTTACCATTGCAAGCAACTGCCGGTTCCCACCTAAGAACCACAGGTTACCATTGCAAAGAACTTCCAGTTCCTAAAGGTTGGAACTGATGGTTCCCAACGTGGGAACCAAAGGTTACCATGGCAAGGAACTGCCGGTTCCCAGACCTTGAAACTTACGGTTAACCTGGGAACCAGAGGTTACCATTGCAAGGAATTGCCGGTTCCCAGAAGTTAGAATTTATGTTTTCGAAGCTAAGCGGCTATCATTGTAAGGAACTGCGGGCTCCCAAAGCTTGAAACTCATGGTTCCAAGCCTGAAAAAGTAACGTTACCAGTGGAAGGATCTGTTGATTGCAAAAAGTTAGAACTCATGGTTCTTAATGTTGTTTTGCTTTGTTTACTGAGCCGGTAATGATATGAAAAAAGTTTCTTTACAATTTTTAATGGTTTTGCTTAATGGACCGGTACAGAACGCTTTGTTTTGCTTAATGGACCGGTACCAGAATGTTTGCGTTTGGTTCATGGCAAGGAACTGCCGGTTTCCAAAGGTTGGAACTCACGGTTGCCAACGTGGGAAACACAGGTTACCATTGCAAGGAACTGCCGGTTCCCAGAGGTTGGAACTCATGCTTCCCAACCTGGGAACCATAGGCTACCATTGCAAAGAACTTCCGGTTCCTAAAGGTTGGAACTGATGGTTCCCAACGTGGGAACCAAAGGTTACCATGGCAAGGAACTGCCGGTTCCCAGACCTTGAAACTTACGGTTCCCAACCTGGGAACCAGAGGTTACCATTGCAAGGAATTGCCGGTTCCCAGAAGTTAGAATTTATGTTTTCGAAGCTAAGCAACTATCATTGTAAGGAACTGCGGATTCCCAAAGTTTGAAACTCATGGTTCCAAACCTGAAAAAGCATACGTTACCAGTGGAAGGATCTGTTGATTCCAAAAAGTTAGAACTCATGGTTCTTAATGTTGTTTTGTTTTGTTTACTGAGCCGGTAACAGAACCTTTTGTTTTGCTTCATGGACCGGTACCGGAATGTCTGCGTTTGGTTCATGGCAAGGAACTGCCGGTTCCCAAAGGTTGGAACTCACGGTTGCCAACGTGGGAACCACAGGTTACCATTGCAAGGAACTCCCGGTTCCCAGAGGTTTTTTTTTGGACGGCGCCAATTGGCTTTCGCCTGGTCACCACACTTTGAGGCTTACCTGCGGACCAGCCGGGAATCAAACCGCCACCGGTAATCTGTCCGCGACGTCAAGAACGTCGCCCTACCAACTACTCCACAGGGACGCCTCCCCGGTTCCCAGAGGTTGGAACGCATGGTTCCCAACCTGGGAACCAGAGGTCACCATTGCAAGCAACTGCCGGTTCCCACCTAAACTTCCAGTTCCTAAAGGTTGGAACTGATGGTTCCCAACGTGGGAACCAAAGGTTACCATGGCAAGGAACTGCCGGTTCCCAGACCTTGAAACTTACGGTTAACCTGGGAACCAGAGGTTACCATTGCAAGGAATTGCCGGTTCCCAGAAGTTAGAAGTTATGTTTTCGAAGCTAAGCGGCTTTCATTGCAAGGAACTGCGGGCTCCCAAAGCTTGAAACTCATGGTTCCAAACCTGAAAAAGCATACGTTACCAGTGGAAGGATCTGTTGATTCTAAAAAGTTTGAACTCATGGTTCTTAATGTTGTTTTGTTTTGTTTACTGAGTCGGTAATGATCAAAGGAAGTTTAGGGGGAGAAACTTCCGTGTTACGGACTTTTAGAATGTCAGGGAAAGAGTTAGTCAAAGAAAGAGTTCGTGAGGGAAAGA